AAACACATCTGAAGGTGGAACTGCTTTTCCTTGAGGGAGATGAGAGGGTGCTATTAGAAGGCCTGAAGGTGCAAGAATAAACTATCTTTGGGTGCTGGCCCAATAGGTGGCTAGAAAATGAGACAAAGCAAAGATAACATTGTTTAGCACACTGCTATGTGTTAGGCATTATGGTTATACCTGTTAAGTCAGAATCTCTTGGGAAAGCTGTCTGAGAAATAAGCAAAAACAAACAAACAAAACAGAAACTCTCCATGGGGTTCTGACAGGCATATCTCAGTTAAAACCCATGATAAGTGCCATATCATTAATATTGCACTGGTACTCTTGGAGATTAAAATAACCAATGTTCAGAGAAGGAAACATGCCCAAGGATGCACCAAGGTATCCACGATGCTGCCTGTCCCTTCCCCTGGAGGCTGCCTCTGGGTGGGGTGGAGAGCCAGTTGTAAACGAGGGGGCAGTTGTATATCCCCATCTCCCTTGGGCAGGTCTGAGCACAGGCGTGAGTGACAGCAGACATGCCTGTGTGAGGAGGAGGCCTCAGGCTTAGGATCAGAGTGTGCTGGGGAGGCAGCATGACAGGCGGACCAGGTACAGGTTACTAGCGGTGTGACCTTGGCAAATTATTGAACCCTCTGAGCCTCAGTTTCCTCACCTGGAAAGTAGGTTGGATGAGCACCCAGCTCCTAGGACTGTGATGAAGGTTAGATGCGATCGTACCAGTGAAAGAGTCTGACACGCATTTAAGGGCTCAGACAAGGCAATTTCTCTTCCCTTACGTACCCTCCTTCTTCCTCTAAATAGAGTTGTTTCAAGCAGCTGCCAGGATTTTTTCCTCTGCCACTGCAAAGTTATTAAAATCAGCTCCAGTCTCCTTTCTCTTCTTCCCCTTCCCTAATGCTCATGGCAATGCAGACCCATGTCTGAGGCCGGGTTCCCAGCCAGGGACCGCAGGACTGGGCTGTTCAGTTTTGGTTCCAGCATCTTCCTCTCCCAAGAAGGTCGTTGGCCCAGGGGCTTGCAGTGGCCTCTTCTGACTTCGGTTTGTGAAACACTTTGCTGCACGTGTTTGCTTTTCCCTGGCTGCCTGGGTCTCATTGAGTGTGCAGGCTCGCTTTTCTTGCTGGGTGGGATTTTGTGATGATAAAGCAGTAATCATCGAGTGCTGCTGTTGGTCGGAACTCTTTTGGTTTCAAGTGACAGGAACCCAACTTGAATGAGCTTAAGCAAAAAATGGGATACCTTGTAAGGTTCTAGGGGAGGCTGAGAGACTCAAAGGAGGAGCTGCAGAATCCAGCCCCAGGAAGAGAGCAAGTGGCCTCAGTATCCCTGGACCAGCACCCCTGCTTAGCGGCCCATGGATCCCTGGACCAGCACCCCTGCTTAGCAGCACCCCTGCTTAGCAGCTCCCAGCTGACCTCATATAGCTCTCCACCCATCTCAAGAGAACCAGGCCTCCCCTAAGATTTTTCACTTTAGAACTTGGTGCAGCTTGGAGCATGTGCACACTGTTTGTACCCATAACTGTGGCTAAGGAGGAGAGACACTCCGATGAACCTATCTTGAGTCCCATGCTCACCTTTTTGTCACAGAAGTAGAAGATGGGAGTAGAAGATGGGGCAGAATCTATTATCAGAACAAAGGGAGAAAGGCACTAGTAATATTAATAAGTAAGAGTAATACTAACTTTTATCCAGTGCTTGCTTTGTGCCATTTTTCTAATTCTTTACCCATGCAAGTGTTTTCATCTTCACAATCAACCCCATTTTATGTACCAGGAAGCTAAGGCACAGAGGGGTTAAGCAATTTGCCCAAGGTCACATAGCTAAGCTAGCAGAAGAGCTGGGATCGAACCCAAGCAGAGAACTCTTAACCACCCATTCTGACGTGGACAATAACAACAGATATCAGCTCCAAGAACTTACTCTCAACTATACACACTGGGCTATGTATGGCCTTTACAGCATTATCTTATTTCCATCTTCAGAACAGCCCTATGGAGTAGGCACTAACATTATCCCTATTTTTAGATAAGAAAGAAACAGGCTCATGGAAATTAGGTGATTTGCCTGGGGTCCACCTGACTCAGTTAAAGTGACAGAGCTAGGATAGGAAGCCAGGTTTGCCTGATTCCAGGGCCTGAGTTCAGGATCAGTTCTCTGAACAGCCTTTGCATTCAGACACTTCTCTTTCTCTATCAGAAGCTCCCTTGGTGAAGGCTCAGTATCTGAGCCTTCATCCTTTGTCTAGAGCTTGGGGCATGGGCACCCCTGCTCCATGCATACTGCTGAGGGACCAGCTTTGTGGTTCTTAGCTGGTCTTGGTGTGTCTCACACAAACTCACCAAAGGGTCTTGAATAAGCTTTGACTGTGTCTAAACTCTAGATTTCTTCATTCCTCCACTCATCAAATGTTGATGGAGTGCCCACTGGTGCCAAGCCCTGTTCCAAGTGCTTGGGGTCTTTTAGTAAAGACCTCATCTCTATGGAGCTATACTTGGAGAACAGCAGAGAGGAAGGTCCCTGAGTTATTTTCATGTTTCTCGGGATTCCCTGAAGCCACTCGGGCTCATAGGAAACCTTTCCTGCACTGCCCAAGTCAGGCCCACAAGGGCCTGGAGACCTCGTGCTTTTTTGTTTAGAACTGGCATGATGGCAAAGTCCAAAAGGAGACTTGTTTTTTCATTCTGATTAATTACAAAGGGAAACATTGTATCAGGGAGTGAGCATGGGCATGGACTCAGGCCAGATTGGCTGTGAGTCCCAGGCTTCTGTGGCTAATGCTGATTGAGTCTACAAGGAAAGGAGCACTTGGCTGTATCATGCCTCGGTTTTCCTCCTCTGTGGCGTTACTGTACTACCTGCCTCATGGGGTTGCTGGGAAGATTATCTGCGATAGCTCATGCAAACCACCCATCACAATGCCTGCACATAGATTAGTCCTTCCGCGAAAGGACCGACTAGTTTTATAGGTGTTTCTACAAGTCAGACCCATGGAGGTGGGCAACGAGAAGGGATCCTTGGTGAGGAAATCACAAATTAGGTCAAGCTTTTCATTTTACAGATGAGCCATGGAGACAAAGTACGTCTAGGCTCTAACAGTGGTCGTTGCATGCGTGGCCAGTGCTCAATACACAGTAGCTTCTCTCCCATAAATAGTCTGAGAATTCGGAACAGTGAGTCCCATCCCCCAGTGCTCTAAACGCAGGTCTTTGTGTATTACAGAGAACAGTTGTGTGTTTAGGTGGGCAAGTGGGTCTACTGCCCTGCTGAAGCAGAGCATGTGTGTCCAAGGGGGTATGTGTATTGCCTCTAGGCTCCTCTAGGGGAGGGATGGTTCTGAGCCCTAGGACCTTCTGGTTTAATGGAGCTCGAAGTTGGTCAGACAGAGGGTATGAGTTGGTTCTTGGAGTGGTTGAATCACAGTATTCTCAGGCCTGTGTGGGAATCTGACCTTGTAGACTGGTCCAGAAATGGCCACCTGCACACCATGCAGACAACTCAAGCAGAAACAGCATTTCCATGCTGCTGGTCTCAGCAATGTCCCCAGGTGGTTAGGGGCTTCTGTTCCTGAGATCTAGGGAGCATAGGGAGGTTCCTGGTTCTCAAACCTGGTTAAACCGACGATAGAGTTCTAGGCCAGGATGTCCAGCATCCCCATCCACTGTATCCAGAAGCTTCTTTCGAGAAACAGGGACAGATAAGTGGAGGCTTCCAACCTCTCTGTCTTTTGGCTCTAGACTACACAGTGCCTATATAGCTCAGGTTGATAGAATGTAGCCAAAGCAGGCCAGCCTGTTTGTCAGCTGCCACAGGCTGGAAAGGTGTGGCTTGATAATGATGATGATGATGACAGAGATGATGGCAGCTCCTGCTCAGGTGGCTGCCCTCGGAGCCTGCCAGGCAGCTCATGGGGTGTCCAGGCCCATCAGAGCTAGCATACCTCTTGCCTCAGTGTGGTGGGATAACCATGAGCACGGGTCAACCAGACCTAGGCTCCAATCCCGCCATGCCATGGGGCCTTGGCACATGCGTTCTGCTCTCTGAGCCTCCGCTCCTGTCTGTGAGGAGCCATGGGGACAAAGTACGTCTAATCTCTAACAGTGGGCATTCCATGTGTGGCCAGTGCTCAGTACACAGTAGCTTCTCTCCTATGAATAGCCTGAGAATTCTGAACAGTGAGTCCCATCCCCCAATGCTCTAAACACAGGTCTTTGTGTGTTAGAACAGTTGTGTGTTTATGTGGGCAAGTGGGCCTACTGCCCTGCTGAAGCAGAGCGTGTGTGTCCAAGGGGTATGGGTATTGCCTCTTGCAGATCTCAAATTCCACATCTATGTTAGTTTTGTCTTCTTGAGACTACCTCTTAGAAATTTAGAATTGTGAAAGTAAATCCTTAGAAATGCCTTGTAACTCTGGGCTCCGTTTTCCAAACAGGTGTAGAGGCACTTTCTGCAGAGGTAGTAGGATGTAACCAAATCATTTGGGTAGTCATTGGAAGTCAAAATACTAATTTGTTTAGGAAACTCAGCCACAATCAAATGGTCCACTTTGATAGCTTCCTTTTTTTTTTTTGCATTTTAGACCTTTCCACCTTAGGAAATGTGACAAATTTCATATTTGTGACTTATGAAATTTTTACATCAGCTTAATTTACTATGTCCTAAGCTTAGAAATTCTGGCATTTTTTGTTGTTGTTTCTACTGAAGTACCTAAAGCATTTTTTTCCAGATCCGTCTTACTTTCTCTGCAAGCCTTTGTGCAGAGGTGTGATAAGCCTTTAGGGTACCCAGACAGTGGCAGACAACAGAATTTATTTGACCATCTCAGTTCCTTTCTTCACACAGAGGAGCACAGGGAGACATTCTCTGTTTATTTCCTCCCATTGGGTAAAGGGGCAAAGGGCACAGGCACGTGGGCCCTCTTGGCAGGGAGAAGATCCGAAGCTGCAATGTAAGATAAAGTAACTGACATTCATCGTTGGGCTTTTGTTTTTAAAGGAACATGGCAATCTGTGCGAGGCTCGTCCTGGAAGGAGGTGACTTTAGTCACTGCGATGCCTAAGAATCAAGTGAGTAAGTCACAGTGGTGGATCTCTTTTATGCTATTGAGTCATTCTTGGGGGGACTGGCTTCAGACTTTGGAAAGTGTAGGGGTGCTTATACTCTTTCTTCAAGCCTAAGCGAATGTAAGCCCGTTTACAGAATCGATGGCTAGTGAAAGCCCTCTGTCTTTGCCTACCACCTTTGCACAGCCCTCCCATGTTGTCAGAGGAGGGAGGGAGGCAGGAATAGAGATTGAGATTTGTTTAGGGACATGAAAGACCGGACTAACTCAGTGGTCTTTGGGTGGGTGGGATCTCTGTCCCCTGTTCTTCTAAGACCAGCAGCCCAGCTGTCTTGACTCCGGTCCCAGCTCTGATGAAGTTTTAGTCTCCTGCCAGCTTTGATCTGTGCCAAGGCAAGAATCTGGCTGGGCAGCTTCTGTAGGGAGTGACTTCAGAGCACTGTAGCACATTTGTCCAAGATTTGAAAATGTGATTGCAGCATCTTTCTCTGCTTGGGTTTCATTCTGATGAGAACAAACCTGTTTACATCTTCCCGTAGATTCAGCAGATCCTTGGAGGCTTAGGGTATAGAAGGCTAAGTTATAGGCAGTAGTGACTTGTTTTTGCACAGTCACCCTCACGAGCTGTTGTAAGAGATCTTCCTTGAATACCTGTCTGACAGTCACTCTGCTGTTGGCCTTCCAGGCTCCCTCTAGTCTGATCTCAGATTCATATTCCAGCGTGTTTGCTGCCTCCCCTCCCTGTCCAGGCTCCAGTCCCCCAACTCCGGGAACAGCTTTATATCTGGGCCATGCTGTTGTTCCCTTTGAGATGCTTCCCTCACTTCCCCAGGCAAAATTGGCACTTCCTCCTTCTCTACACTCCCATAGCGCTTTGTTCAGACCTCTTACACAGCACTGGCTGAATTAAGGTTTGTTCACTTGTCTGTCTCACCCGCCAGCTGTGGGAGCCTCGAGGGCAAGCACCTGTCCTCCAACCTTCCTGTCTGAGATGGGCAGCGCCATCCCAGCGGCACAGGACCGGGCACATGGCAGGGGATCAACAGCTGTTTATTGACTCGAATATAAATCCCGGGTTTATTCAGGGCTTATGGCTCCAGAAGTTCTATCTCAGTGTCTCATGGGAGCTTTGCACCCCGGGAGGGGTGGTCACATTCTCACTTATTTAATAGACGTAAAGACTGAGGTCTGAGCAGTCAGCTAAGTTGTCCCAGGCTATAGCCTAATAAAGACCAGGACCCATATCTCCTGTGGCCAAGGCTAGTCTTGTTTCTGTAATACCAAATTTTATAATTACAGAGAACCCAAGAGATAATTTAGAGCAAACCCCTCATTACCAGCTAGGGAAACTGAGACCTGGCCTGAGGATACTTTTTCAAGATTACATAGCTAACTGATGCCAAATGGAGAATTGAAACGCAGGCCCTGGACTTCCTGTCTAGCATTTTTTTTCCACTCCTGCTCCCCATCCTCTGCCTCTCTTCTGTATACAGCCATCAGAGAACATTTGGGGACCAGCATTCTGCAGTGACAGGAGGTAAAGCACTTAGTGAATGCCCTGAGTTAGAGGGAATGTAGAAATGTGTAAAACTAGCCCTGCCCTCCAAGAGCTTCCCTTCCAGGCAGAGCCTTGGTGGAGGGAGAAGGGAGAGCAGAGGGTGAGGGGAGCACCTTGGGCACAACCCAAGGGCCGGAGCATGGTGGCAGTCAGCAGGCAGGCATGTCTGGGCATTTAGAGGCTGGTCTGGTGGGCGCTGAGGATCCACGGTGGGCAAGGAGTCTGCGTCGAGAGTCCTGGCCAACAGAACGAGAAGGGTTGACTGGACCAAGAGGAAAGGAGTGTGTCCAAGGAGGAGGGTCAGGCAACGGACAGTGAATCCCGTCATGGTCTCCAGTGTGTATAGGGAGGAAAGCGTGTGCATTTCCTACTGGCTTATCCCTATTGTACTCAAGGGGATTTTTGTTGTGCTTTTTCTTATTGACCACACTTCCAGTTGGTCCTTTAAGCCCATTTGAATTTTGGAGCTCTCCTGGTCCTTCATTCATTCCAGGCTGCATACAAGGCCAGGTAGGTGCTGGCCACTCATTCCATTTTTACTCTGCAACGTCTTGGGAATCCAGACAGAGGGGCTGGGACTGACTGCAGGCTCCATCTCCACTGGCAGGTTGAAACATACAATTTGCACAAATTACAGAGAATGTGATGTTTGCCAAATAGGTACTTTGGATTATTTTTCTAAATACGGCCAGGTTATAAACTTCTCTAGGGCAGGAAAAGTGTGCAGTGGTACAGCATTATTGTTCACATCTTATGTTTATATTGCAATTTACATTTATAAAGATAGTTTCATCTTCATAATAAGGCAGGTGGATTTACTCCCGTTTTACAGATGAGAAATTTGACTTAGGCTATAACCTGCCCAGGTAATGTAGCTGCCTGAGGGCTGAGCTGGGACATAGCCCAGGTCTCTCGTTTATAAATTCTGTGATCTTTCTACTCTCCGATGCTTCAACCGTATGTAAATTCTGCAAGGACTTGGGACATACGAGGAGCTCAGTAAATATTTGTTAAATGAGTGAACTTTGGCTATTCTATTTGCCATTTTTTTGTTTGTTTTGTTTTGCCATACTTAAACCATAAAATGATCCTCTTTGGCAGCAAGGGGACACTACTCTGTGAAGCATTTGAATTTCTTGCCATGATAAGGAACTGATGAGTTCTCCTCTCACCCAGCCTCACCTCCGGGAACTGGGTCATGCACACTAAATAATTAATTCCTTAAATCTTTTACTTAGAGCTTCCTGCTCCTGATGCTGAGATGATCTGTCCAACACTGATCTTTGAAAGGTCTCTGGTAGAAGCAGAGCTTATTGCTTGTTGTCATAAACCTGCAGATGACCCATCTAACTGCCCACGATGGATACTCTTGGCCTAATTAGGTCAGACACCCAGTGAGTTAATTCGATCTCCTCTTGCCACTCTTCCCCACTAGCCTCTTCCAGATGGAGGAAGAGAGTCGTTGTGGGTTATCTTAGATATTTAGGGTTTTGTAAGGACAGAAAGCCCACCCCTCCCTTCTTCCTGACCTCTTCCCCAAGATTTTGCGGTGAGGGCTGGAGAAAGAATAAGTGCACCATGCATGGGGTAGAGGAGGCACTTATCAAAATATCTGCTAGG